AACCATGGGTTTTTGGCACCTCAAACTCTTAACACTTCAGGAATACAGTTTGATTATTTGGATAGTTCATCTTCAGCAACTTCAGCTTGCCTTTCCCAAAATGATGTTCAATTGCAGCAGACTGCTACAGACCCATTATCTGGCAGTTCTCAGCCATTGATATTCAGAGATAGTCCAGATGGAGGAGAAGTTCAGGGTGACCCGAGAAACAATGTAGCTTTTGGAGCAGCAAACATGGAAAATAATCAGTTAGGACTGCCTATGATACCTGATCCTTTGATCACTAAAAGCTCAATGGGATCAAGGAAGGATTTCTCAGACAATCTCTCATCAGGAGGCGGCATGCTCTCCAGCTATGAGAACCCCAAGGAAGCACAGCCTGAACTCTTGGCCTCAATGGCTTCCGATTATGTCACCTTTAATTCAATTGATTCTACTATCAATGATGGTAGCTTCATGGATAGAGGCGCCTGGGAGCCACCACCTCAACTGCCTCGTTTGCGGACATATACCAAGGTTGGTAGCCTCATAAAAGCTGTTTATTTTATTACTTGTTGTTTCTTAGAGAGTTTATAACATTTTCTGCATCTTTTCTCTTAAAGGTGTACAAGCGTGGTGCAGTAGGAAGATCAATTGATATTGCACGGTACTCAGGCTATGAGGAACTTAAACTAGATTTGGCTCGTAGATTCGGTATAGAGGGACAACTGGAGGACAGACAAAGAATAGGATGGAAGCTTGTGTATGTTGATCACGAAAACGATGTTCTCCTGGTTGGTGATGACCCCTGGGAGTAAGTCCATATACTATATATGCTTCTATCAACTTTTTCAGTATTAACATTTTCAACAGAAGTACCATATGTCCTCTGATGGCTTACATATTCTGTACTTCCATATGATGTCTTACAGGGAATTCGTGAGCTGTGTCCGCTGCATCAAGATTCTTTCTCCACAAGAAGTTCAACAAATGAGCTTGGATGGAGATTTTGGAGGTAGTGTCCTTCAAAACCAAGATTGTAGCAGTTCAGACGCGGGAGATGTGTAATTATAGCAAGGCTAAAGTTGTTAACAATTCTTTTGAAGCTGGAAACTTACACAAATATAGCTTCTAGGTAATCAGTTGCTCCATCAAAGTGATTCCTTCTAGTATACACCACAGTACAGTAAGCAAGCCAGCTGCTAGCTCTTCATGGGATCTTGGTATATTTAATGATCCCTTGATGTAACAAAGCTGATGCTAATCTTTGATAAGAGAAAAAAGTTAGTAAGGGAAGTCATCACCATTGCTGCTAGAGGGTAATGTGCTCTAGCATAGTTGTTAAGGCAATAGAAGTATGGTGGATCCCAACTTCTCTTGTTCCTTTGATAGTTCCACAAGGCTTGATATATCAGAGTGTATAGTAATGTAAATATACTCTTTTCTGTAAGAGAAAATGGTTTAGACAGAATGAGAGACTTTATTGCTTTTGATTGTTGTACAACATGGATATGGTTCACACCTTATTTATAGGAGAAAAGTATTTTCACTAAGCTTCCCCTATGAGCTTTTCCAATGTATGCATATATTTTTCCCATTGAATGTCCGTTAATAAATAATGTGTCTCGTTAAAGTCCTAGAAGCCTCAATGGAAAAACTTAAACTAAGTGGCAAATCTTAACAAGAAGAAAGAGTACATAGTATAGAGTCATTCTTTTGGTGGAAAAGGGTGAAACGAATAACAATCTCCTCCATTTACAATTTGGTCTAAATATGTCCTTATCGACAATACTCTTGCCCGTTAATAGCTTGATCTAGAAATGTTGCTATTACTAAATGGATAAAAATGTCCTTTTCCAAATATACATATTATTTCTTTTCTTTTTAAAAACCTAATAAAAATATTACTTTTAAAGAACCTTATTCTTGTTTTCTTGTTTTAAAATAACTTTAACTAATAAAAACGAAAATATTTTTTTCTTTTTAATATTATTTTATCAATAACTAGAATAACTTAATGTCCACTTTTAACAAAGAGAAAAAACATAAAGTGACACCTGAAGTTGTCCCGAATTTTCAGAAAGATACTTAAACCTATGCAAACGTCCTATTACCCCCTAAACAATTTTGAACTGATATTATTACATCTTTTTTTGTCTACCTGACATGGAGAGTGTGAACAAACTAAAAAAAATGAATATAATTTTATTTTTACAAGTATTTTGCTATAAAATATATTTTCTTGTTTTTCTTATTATTTTAACTTTTTCTCTTTATTAATTTTCTTTTTTTCTTTCTTCCTTTTTTTTCAAAAATTCATTGTCATTTTTTATAACTTCACCTCCTTTTTTTACTACTATTAATTTAACTCTCTTCAATTTTAAAATTATATCTAAATATTTTATTACATTTCAAACAATTTGATAACTCACTAGATTTCAAGATGATTAGTAGGTATTATTTACTTTTTAAAATCCAAATTTCACTTGAAGTTTTTCAATTTTCGGAGAATTTTGATTCTTACAAAATTATCATTTCTAGTTTAAAAGTTATATGAAATGAGATAAATTAATTGATGATATCTTCAAAATTTTAATTTTCTTACAAAAATAATTAGTTTTGTTATCAATATCACAAATACTAGAAAATAGTATAATTTTGAAAGAAAAGAATTTGACCAAAGAAGAAGAAGAAAAAAAATGGAGGGGCTCAACTTGACATAGGGGTGGGGTGAGGTGAGGGTGAGAGGTGAAGAAGAAGAAAAAAAGAATTTGAAGGGAGGGATAACTTGAAAGTAGAGGTGAAAGATAAAGAATTTAAAGTGAAATTAAAATTAAAGCAATAAAATTAAAATAAATCAGAAAGTAAAAGAGAGATATAAAGAGAACATAAAATTAAAAAAAAATATATATTTCAAATTCAATTAACATGTGTCACACAATGATTGGTGTATGATAACCATTTGCTATTTAAAATTTGGTATTGGTCCAAAAATGTTGTAATAATATATTATCAGAATTGTTTAGGGGGTAATAGGACGCAAACATAGTTAAGGTGTCTTTTTGAAAATTCAGGACAACTTGAGGTGTCACTTTTATGTCTTTTCTCTTTAACAAATAATATACATCATACATAAGATCATAGCAAATTCATTACTAATTTTCATTTAAATAACGATAAAAAATAGTTAGGCCAAATACATAAGCAGATCCTTAAATTTGTTGGGTTTTTTCTCTCAGGTACCTCAACTACGTCATTTTCCTATTGAATCATTGAACCCCCATAATTTGTTCCCTTTAAACAAAAACTGTTGTCTGATGTGGAACCAGATTTGTGAGAGGTATTGATAGAGAATACATATGTTGTTCCATAAATCATTAGTTCAATTGATAGTGAAAATGTTTGAGAATAATTGTGTTTTACTTAAGTCATTTGAACATATTAGAAAACAAATGAGACTAACACGGTTTGTCTTCATTCCTTCAATCAAAATTATTACAATTCGAACACAATTGAAGACATTTACAATAGAAAAACTTATCAAAATCAACCCGCAGTGTTTTAAAGAAACAAATTATGGGTGATTCAATTGAAACATGACATAGTTGAGGTACCTGAGAAAAAAAAATCCAACAAGCTTAGAGATATGTTTATGTATTTGGCCAAATAGTTATAATATACTTTTTGATGCGCATCAAGATCCTTAACAGAGAGATGATTGGATAGACAGACCATTAATAAACTAGAAATGTGATTGTCAACAATTATAATGTCATCAATATAAACGAGCACATATGTTGTAAAGCCAGAGTTAAACAAAGATGAGTCAAACTTGTACTTATTGAAACATGTTGATATCAAGTATATAGCTTGAGGTGCTTGCTTAAGACCATAAATTGCTTTCTTCAGTTTAAGAAGGGAAAAAAGTCTTCAAAATACTAGTGAGACAGTAATATTTGTTAGAGAACCCTTAGTAAATACTAGGAGTTGAATGAAAATTGATTTTTTTTTTTGCATAGGGTCAAATCCAAAGATAGCATAATCAATCAAATATCTTTATAGATTCATAATTTGGAGCTACTTCGAATATAATTTCATATGGACAGTAGTTTTTTTTAAAAATTTATTGTAGTCGATCTGTTTATGAGATAAAACTGTCTAGTGAAAACGTTTTGCTTAACCACATATATTACCATTACCCATTAAGACATTTTTAGGATCGTGCTAATCTTGTGTAGTAGTTAAGCTATGATCATCAAATGTAATATGATGAATGACTCAAGATTCAACAATCCAAGTTTCTATTGTTGGTTTATATGCTTGGAGATTTTCATGGAACTATGAGCAACAAACTCACTCCTTTTGCTGAGTGACGATATCGTAGTTCATTACCTCAAGGTTGTAGCTGCTGCCACTGGGAGGCGTTGTTGCCTGTATGACCCGTCATTTAGCCCACCAAGGTTCGGACAGAGTTTGGGATTGACTCATCTATGGTTCAGCTCATTTTTTCAGCCCTAGCTAGAGGTAAGGGATGCAACATTTCTACAATACATATTTGGACATGAAACATCAAAACATTTCAAGTAAACCTAAGAAGAGTAGCTCCTTCACATTACCTAATTCTGGAAACAACAAAACATATCAACTCTAGGCAAGCTCATCAAAAAACACAGTTTGGTCAAAGCCATATTTCCAGAAACATTTCCATAGGTACAAGTCTATGCTCAGTTTGCTCAATTTCAGCTTACATAAAAAAGGAATCCAGAGAGATTTCACCAGATCATATACAAATAAAAATAAGACTCTCCTAACTCGACTTACACGCTGCATCAGCATTGCTCAATCGTTTAGAGGGAGTCCTCTTTTTCTTGAATGATTGGCTCAGAGGTTCAAAGAGAGGAGCCCCTGGCATACCAAGCCGTAAATCTGTATCACCATTGTCAGCAATCCATGTTATGCGATTAACTGTCATAGTTACAAATGTTGTTTCAGTCAGTGACAAGTTTACAAGGTCTACTCCTTCTGTAAATATCACTGCCAAGCTTAGGCAATAATTAGACCAGTCAGGAGCAAAGATATATACATAAACACAGATCTTTATATCCACCAGCTATCTCAAGGTGATGCCATTTAAACACTTGATGAATCATACCAATCAACATGGACTGATCTATATTCTATGCTTATGAACTCATAATACAAAGAGGGGTGAAGGAACATCAATCAATCAACTGCTTATAGCCCAGGAGAGCAGAGTGCTTAAGGCAAAAAAACCACATAATGATTCAGAAGATTCATTATCCCAAAGACAAGCTTCCAGTGACTCGACTCAAACCCGAACAGTTAGTAATGTAAAAGCAATTCTTTCAGTATCCACCTATAGCAGAGCCTCTATCTGACTTGGCGGGTTGGGGGTGGGGTAGCACCTGTTAACTTTCTTTTCAAATAGTTCTGCAGCCATGAAAACCTGATCAACATTCACTTTGTCCCAAAAGAGAATAAAAAAGCGCGCACACCAAAAACCAGCATTTACTAGAACACAGTGCAAAGAATCAGCAAATTCAAAAATGTTAAGTGCCGAGAGAGTGAAAGAGACAAGACAGCAGCGATACTTCCTTTTTATTTTTCAGTATCAACTATATTCATGCAATTACTAGCTTTATTCAATTCATCACAAATGGTACAACTGTAAAAATTAAGCATGCTTAATGAACCATGTCTACAGAGGATCAAGAGTTTCAAAAGGTCTTGACATACCAGGCTCAGTTTCATCAGGTGCAAGTGCTGGACGATAAGGCCGCTTCTTAACATAGTTATCCTGCAGAGGTCTTGGGATCTGGAAAGAAAACTGGGACATACTTACACCTTGTGCTACATAGTCTGGGTGTTCCTGCAAGTACCTAAGAAGAGAAAGCATTGATCAAAATGGTGAGGGATATGAGAAAAAGATACAGATTCAAATTTAAATTTTACTTTTCAACTTCAACCATGGAACGAAGTCTCTTTCCAGATGGCGCAACATAATACCTGTAAATCATGACCAAAAAATGTTAATGGGTTGTCATCCTCTACTTAAAACAGGAAGAATCATATATGCACTTTAAAACATACTAATGTAAAAAGGAGTAAAGGAATGCAAGAAACGTACACATCAGCAAACCGAGTGCCTCCTTCGCCTCGGATTCTTAAAAGCCGTTCCCACCCAGGAGGGGGCTGAGCAATATTAGGCTTGTCAATAGCCCAGAGCCTACTTCCATCTTGAGTAAGATCAGGAGGATCGGCACATGATAGTTCAGCACGCCACTCATGAGCAGTTTCACAATAAAAAGGTTGTTCCAGAATGTGTTCTCTTATCTCCTCATACTTCTCCTTTGTAGGAATAAGCCTCCATTTAAAGCAGTTAGCGCACTGCACAGTAAATGCCCCAACAGATGGCAAAAGCCTAGTTGTGTAATTGGGAAAGGAGTTTCGTCGAGGCTGAGAATTAACAGGATCGGCGTCAAGTGCAATTTCATCCGCACCAACAGCAGCGGGATCGTAAAGCACCAACTGTTTTTGAGCATCTTCACTGTGGTTATCCTCATCATCTGTGTTATGTTCTTCTTCTTCTGCTAAAGAAGCAACATCCTTAGGATTCTGATTAGAAGTTCCAATCCCTCCAGCGCTTGCAGAGCTTCTTGAATCTTTTGGCTCATGCTTCACCTTATCTCTGCGACTAGCAACTGAAGAACCATAAATATCATTATGATCTGCTTTTCCAGGGGTCGCAATGTCCAGATGATCTCGCTCCATCCAACCAAATCTAAGTATGAATAGAACTGTCCAAAATAAGAAAACACGATTTATTGGACAACATAATTCCGAGAACGGTGACAAAGTCCAAAGAAAGAAAACACAATTTATTTGACAAGAGAACTCCTGGAACAGTGAATAGCATAGATCATAGATCAAAGATGAGAAAACAAACACATTACCCTATTTAACCAAAGGTTCCACACATTTAAAAACGGAGTCCCTGTTTGCATAGGTAAAATGTAGGCTGAAAGGGAGTTCTCTTTACCAAACCATCAAAAGTTACAATAGAGAGCAATTATAAATCAAATTAAAAAGGCCAGCCTGCTAGTAATTAAAAATTTCTCCATATCTGAATGTGTCCATCTGGTACAAGGAGCAAATTTGTAAACAAGAAGATCCAGTTGAACATGTGAAGGATTTTGAATGCTAAAATATTACACACACACACATTATACACAAAAATCCTTTCAAAAAAAATTCTAATTTAATTCCTACAGGCATTCAAAGTACAGAATCTTCTAAGCGTCTCCACATAACAAATACAAGGTAAAACGAATGGAAAACCAATAAAACCAAATATCATTAATAACTGAAAGTTCTACAAGAAGATGAATCAGAGTTAATGTATAGAAGACAATATCTAATCAAGTTCCCCAACTAACCAGATAGGCTATGAGAGGCCACATATGATATTTGTAGCAAGAAAAATTAAATTTTGAAACTACTCAACTAAATGACTTACAGGCACAGGAGCTCCTGACAACCATGAAAGGAAGCTGACGTTATGGGGAATGAAACCATTCATAAAGAAGCAAGGAAATAGTTTGAACCACTAGTTAGTAATACTATTTCTTACTAGAAATATAAGAATTGTATTTATGTTGAACAAACATAAAGTTGCCATGAGATATTCCCAAAAAAACACTTCCAAAGTCATCACAAAAGCAAATAAATCACAGCCAGGTCACATTGGAAAGTTGGTCTAACTAATTGATCATTGGTGTACAAGAATCACCCAACATTGGGACTACTTGACACACAGAGACAGAAGCTTTTGTTTCAATCATAAAAAAAGGCTAAAGCAGCTATTTTAGGAGTTTTGTGTTGGTCATAAATCTTAAGCAGATAAGTTCATCAACCAATTGAATCTGAGCTTTGTTCAAGGTACGCCACATTTTGGGTTTGGACAGCAGAGCTAAAACAACTATTTTAAAGTCTAGAGCCTAGAGTTCCTCTTAATAAAGTAAGGCATTAATGGCATCCCGTAAAAGCAAAATGAGTGAAAGAGTCCAGATTCAAGTTCCTAGGAGATGCCACTCCCACAAGGGGGATAATCTTTCAAGAATTTTTCCTTACAATAATGTCAAAAACTAAGTTCACTAAGGAGAGCTTCCTAACAAACATCAGGTGGGCTGCATGAACATGAGGGGCTGCTCACCCTTATTTTTTATTTGGTTGGACAATATTGAAGAATGTAAAGAGTGTACAAAATTTAAAGTAAAAAATATACCTACTTTATAATATAAATATTTTAGAACTTTGACTTAAACTACTCAAATCTTCATACTAATAAATAAATAATTCACAAAAATATTCAAGCTAGTGCAATGCAACACATGATTAACATCTTATTAACTTGAATTAGTCCTTACTATACAAAATTATAATATAACTATGCGAAGTTACAAGAATTATGGTTGTTAAGAATACTACACTGAAAACAAGTACGAAAACATAAAAAAATTGCACTAAATTATTTTTTTGTTTGCTATTGTATATATACTTGAGATCTCTAACTAAAATTTGATTTTAAACTACTAATTTTATTGAGATGTCATTGGAAAACATAATTACTTAAGATAGAATAATTATTCCTTAACATCCGCGAAAAAGCTCTCGGTATGTGGGGCCTTTAAGCGCAAAAAGTGTGGGCTTTAACAAAAAAAAAGGCGCAAAGGGAGAAAAGAATAAAATATATATGTTTAGTCCAAGACTAATACTTATAAACAAGAATGACAAATATATGACCAAAGAAATTGAAAACAATTATGATAAAGTGAAGTATCAATTTTTAACCTCAAATTCTTCATAAGAGGAAATGTTTGCCTTAGAACCTTTACGATGACACTAAAGCGCACATAAAGCGAGGCGGAGCACTCAACACATTTTGAGCCTCGCTTTAGGGCTTAAGCGCGCTTAAAGCCCGCTTTGATAACACTGCCTATCATCACATTAGAACTTGTCTAGAAGTTAAAATTATACATGCTTAATATTTTACAATCTTAGAAAGTACTTTCTTCTAAACACTTTTATGAAGAAGTCTATCAATACGAGCCACAAATTGATTTTATTTTAGTGAACATCAAGTCAAGTTCAATACGCAGAAAACAATGTGTACCATTAGTTGAAAAGGAAGGTGAGACAAATATTTCTATTTAACACAAACATTAGTTAAAGACCATTCGAATTGATGGAAACACAGAGGGAGGTGAAATGTATGGATAAACAATCCTGTCAGCCACGATAATGGTAAGGTGAAAGGACGTTATATCTACTTAGTGATATTTATATTTGATAAATGGTCATATTATGATTGATTGATCGTAACACGTGATCTCGCGCACGATAAACAATAAAAAATTGTTATCCAATTGGTAAAATCTTTCTTTTTCACGCAACTTGTAAACAATAAAGACTCGTAATGCTATTGGTGAACTCTTTCCTTTCACGTAACTTGTAAAATCAAAAATTTGAATATATCATTGAATCATTTTACCTGCATTCAGCTTCCCGAAAATATATGAAAGTAAGGAAGTATCAGATTTGCAGACTATTCAATGTTAAAGCACGGCGTAACAACAAATGTAATAGACAAGTTACATCCAAGTAAAAGCGTCTTTTCTAGTTTGAAAATATATGTAGAGTGGTTATGCTAGTTTGAATACAGTTGCTGACGGAACTTAGGTACAATAACTACACAACAAAAGGTATCAATGTGCTAGCTAATCTATTTGGGTTCCCGTTGTTGTTCATACCTTTTTCTTAAGAATACTAATCAGCGGCTCCTCCTTCTGATAAAAGAGTAAGAAAGTAATTGTTAAAGACGTAACGCCTCGATCGCATTAAGTGAATGCGACTAATCTAGATGAGGACATAACGATTAAAAAAAAAACTAAACTAGGTGAGAACTTTTTCAGTTTGTATAGTACTAATAGTTATACATTCACTTGGTCCGTGCAACTGAACTAGGTGAATATGTTGTTAGTTCAACAACTAGTTCAGATGGCTAATGGATTTTTTCATAGATTCCCAGCAAAATAACTACATACCTCTATATCTGCATATTGTTTTTATCAGAACTAGAGAATGTCATCATCGTGTAGCACACACAATAGTTTAACACCTAAAATACAATGAAGAAGAACGACAACTATGCCTTAGTCACAAACTAGTTGTGCTCGGTTAAATAACTTCACAACATAAAAAACAAACCATAAAACTATGTTGCTCAGACTCCCCAAAAATATTGCCGCATCTGCCTCGGATCCTAAAAAATACACTTATTTTTGAGGATCCGACGCAGATGCGGAAACATATTTCGAGAATCCAAGCAACGTAGCTTAATTGGTTTGTTTATCCTGTAGTGAATTTATATAACCGAGCACAACTACTAATTTTGAGTATCCAACACGCACCCCACGGGATCCTACAAGAGTTTGAGTAGCATAGCAATTAAGTGACCACAAACTCAAGATTCTATTAATAAAAACACCTACTTTTATTGAACCCTAAATTGAAAACAAAACCCTAGTTTTCCACAGGCCATGTGCATTCAAAGTAGAACCAATTTTTCCAAATTAAAAGAAAATGGCATCACATGAAAAAATAGAGAAGAAATATTCACCCAAGAAGGAACCTAAAATCCAATAAAACAAGAACAATCAAACTAAAGCATTGGCAGAAAATGTAGAAGTAAAAAAATCCCTTTTTTACAAAAAAAAAAAAAACTTAAGATTTATCAACAACTTTCAAATACTTAACCCTTTTTGATTTCTAAAATCACATACCTACAACAAAAATGACACAAAATCAAACAAAGAAATACCTCAAATCATTAAATTGAATTCTTGACAAAAAAAAAAAATCCATAACACAGATTGAAACCCATTCACATAAATCAAATGAATCTATCACTAAACTTATCAAAACAATAAACCCGATCCACATGCATTTCAACACAGCTATACATATTTACAAAGAAAAAAAGATTGCATAAAACCATAGAGCAAAAGAGATATACCCAAAATCAGAAACAAAGGGATCTAAGTCAGCATCATCCAAGAATCAACGTTTTTGGGTAAATTCCTTTGGAGTTGTATGCAAGAAAATATATGTTACTTACAGATTAAAAGACTGCAATATCTTTGTTCTCCTAGGGAAGTGAGAGACACACAGGCGGAGATGAAGAACTCAGCTAAATTTAAGTACTAACTTTTTATTGCAAAACTAAATGATAAAAATAATAAATAAAAATGTTTATTTACTATTTTACCACCTTCATATTATAACATTCGCGTCGTTTCGTTCAAAATGAGGATATCCTGATCATAAATAGAAATAGAAAATCAATTTTTAACTTTATATTTATTTATTTTCACTAGATATTTAATTATTGGTGTCGTTTCATTCAAACGAGGATATTTCGATCATAAATAGAAATTAAAAAAATTAATTTCACATTTTATTTACTATAATATTCTAATATTTGCGTCGTTACGTTCAAACCTAGGACATTCCAATCATAAATAAGATTAGAACAATCATTTTCACTTTTTATATTTATTTATTTTTATTACGATATTCTAATATTGGAATCATTTTGTTCAGGGATATCCCGATCATAAACAAGATAAGAACAATCAACTCAATTTCCATGTTTATTTACAATTTTACCATTGGTATTCTAAAACCCTATTTATTTCGTTCAAAACGAGGATATCCCGATCATAAACAAGATAAGACAAATTTAACATTTTATATGTAGTGATACTTTACCACTAGTATTCTAATACCAGGGTTGTTAAGTTCAAAACAAGAATACCTCAATCACAAATAAAATTAGAACAATCAATCTCACCTACAATATGAATTAAGTAAAAATAATATTCGCTTTATTCGGAGTATAAGCGTCAAACTAGCTAATTTTTTATCTGAATTAGAATATAGAATTTTCAAAATAATTGATATAAAATTTATTATATTTTAAAATTACGAAAAAAGAAATATTGTGAGTCACAATAGTTAAATAATATCATCACCTACAACTCAATTCCAAATAAATTGAGATAAGGATATCTGAATCCTCATTTGTCATTTGAGCTCATATTATATTATTAACATAATCAATTTTAAGAAGTAAAAGACTATGTTAAAATATATATACATAATAATAAAAGCTTCATACAAGTTTAAGATCTATCCTTTAACTTGTTGTCAACAACTTAATGGATCTTTTTCATTGTGTCCTATCTCATTTAAACATAGTATTGATATCAAACAATTACATGTCTACTGCAATCACTTTCTTTTAGGTCCGACTCACTTTCTCTTTATACCTTCACTTACTATAGTTTCATACCTACAAATCGGTGCATCTATAGATTAACACAGAATTACTCCAAATCATTTCGAGCGACATTCTCACATTATATTTTTAATGTGTGTTATTTGCAACTTCTAGCGAATGTGATCATCTTTATCTAATCTAATTTGATATGAACTCAAATTCATCCTAACATATGTATTTTCATATGTCACGATTCAAACTGTCATGAGTGACACCCACACTAACCTTTACTAACAACCAACCAAAACTTAACTTAAACAACATTTCTAAACCCAAGTCATACTATAAACTAGAAAGAAAAATAATTTAATACAATGAAAGAGTTGAGTTTATAGGAACTCAATCAGAAGTAACAATAATTGCGAAATGAATGCTTAGAAATTGAAAGTCGTAGCACCAAAACTCTATTCAATATAGGATGGGGATGCAACCCCGAAAACTAGGAAACAAAACTAATAATCTAAAAGTTCGTGTTTGAAAACATGGACAGTAAAATGTAGAGATGAACCCATGGAAGCCTGGAAGAGTAGCTCACATTTTGGATTTGATGTCTAACACTCCTTACATAAGGTCTCATATCAGCCGCCGAAAGATGCCCTATGTTCAACAAGAAATGAACAGGTGCAATATTAGTTTATAATCATAATGTACTGATAAGATCACGAAGTCAATTTCAAACCATGACCCAATTCCATTCATTTAATATCCCTTTGGTGTCATTGACATAACAGATGTCGTTTCTAGTCTATCTCTTTCTATTTCTTTTCTATATATGGAAAGTTCAAAAATCATCATATAATAATCCAGAAATTGCAATAGAAAAGAAATAAGGGAGGTTTGTGATGATTTTTCAATCTTTTCTACTAGGTAATCTAGTATCCTTATGCATGAAGATAATCAATTCGGTCGTTGTGGTCGGACTCTATTATGGATTTCTGACCACATTCTCCATATGGCCCTCCTATTTCTTCCTTCTCCGAGCTCTGGTTATGGAAGAAGGAACCGAGAAGAAGGTATCAGCAACAACTGGTTTTATTACGGGACAGCTCATGATGTTCATATCGATCTATTTGCGCCTCTGTAAGCAGACAACTACCACATACTAACACGATCAACACATCATCAACAATTATGAAACAATTGGGATATCTCAATCCTTGTTTTGAGTTAACTTATGTATGAAACATGTCTCCACATGATCACATTCAATTCATACTTGAGTCCAAACTCACCTTTAAAGTAACTTGGATCACTTAAGGATCTAACATGCATTAATCACATTTTAAAGAGGTAAAGTCGGCTCACTCAGTTCACTCGTGAAACCACACATGCACATACCCGTATTATAACCAAATCCTATCCCCATGACAGTTAATGATCATTCCACCCTACCTAGGATTTTTTTCAACGATTAAATCAAGTCAACCCTTCAAAAAGTAATATTCTAGATTCTAAGACTTAAGAATCAATTTACAAAATAGGGGAGTAATGGACTTACCTTTAATGATGAAATTGGTGGAAAATCAAGTAGGAATTGTCCTTGTTCACTCCTCTCAACCTGAAGAACAATTATGCAAAATACAGGAGGTTTTGAGACTTTTTCTGCATAATATCCCGACTAACCTCATTATAGAGGCTGACTTCACTATATCGGTCATTAGCCCACTATAAATCATGCACACTCACCTGAATTTGATCTCGTAAAGCCCTACGGATCCCTTAATGAACTAGATTCTATATAATATAACCTAAGCCTATAAACATCACCCCGCCCATTTCTGGATAACCCTATACCTCGCCATGCTCTAACTCTGTTTGAGTTTGAATTAGCCTACAATTTTAAATCACTATCCAAAAAGTTATTCTTTAACCATTTGTCTAGTCATAATGACTGGAACTGATCGTTACATGACATTTATCTTGTGAATAAATTAGATTTTAGCTACCTAACATTTACGATCATATAATATGATCGGTCTACTAATTATTCTATAATACTTGCATTTCACTTTAACATTTCACAATTTAAAATAACTAGAAAGAAGCTAATAATTGGAAATGGTGATTATTGAAAAGCATTGAAATCTGGAAATTATATTAAGTTAGGAAAAGTTGAGCTTTGGTCAACTTTAAACGACAATAACTTCTAACTTAAATTGAGTTAGGTGTAATTCCATATATGGTAGGAAATCTCTTGGAATAATTTTTCCAATGCCATAAAGTTTGCGCGATTCCGAGTTTGTATGAGTGAGTTATGCACTTTGGAAGTTGGGTTGTTCGAATAAGGAAAGTCCAATTCGAATTTTGGAAGGGTAGTTTGATATTTTTCTTACCCAACTTAATTAATTATTTTTTAGAAGTTAATTAGGATAAAATCATATTTTATTCAGTTTAGAAAAGTTGAGGTTTCATTCTAGGTCTTGAAGAAAAGAGAAAAGAAAAGAGGAGAAGGGAGAAGAGAAATCAATATTCGCCAATATCGTCGAGTTTAGCTTGTGGATCTCGCCAAGGGGTGATCCTTACGAGGTACGTGAGATCATACAATGATGGGTTAGTTCACCCACGCGCCAACAATTATTTAATTAAGCTAAGTTAAGTCTTTGAAAGTTAACAAATTGAATTTTTGATGAACATTGTTGAAGATTTTCTTAATTTCTTGTGGGTTGTGTTGATTGAAGTTTTTTGCAATTTTGTTCATCTTTCCTGTGTATTTTCGATTTAAATCTATCATATATTGATGGTATAAATGATTCTAAGTTTTTGGAGAAAGAAACAAATGAAATTAAAGGGTTTAGAGTTTTAAAATAAAGAAGAAAGTTGTGAGTTTTCTGCAGAGGGGGTTGGGGCGCCCTGCCGGGCCTCCAAGAGCGCCCCAAAAGTTCCTCTAAACTTCTGTCTCTACGGCACCGCAAAGCCGAGCCTCCCAGAGCGCCCCAAAAGTTTTGAACTTTTGGCTCTGCGGCACTGCATAATCGAGCCTCCTAGAGCGCCCCAAAAGTTCCTCAGTACTTAGGGCTGCGGTTTGCGCGTCGCACCATCAAGAGTGCCCCAACTTGTTCTCTAAACTTTGAGGATTGGTGCCCCGCACCTCTTTGAGCACTAGGGACGCCAATTCTCCCTATTTCTTCTCCATTTTTTCGTACTAGTTCCTTAGTAATGTACCTATGTTTTTTAGTTGATTCCAATACTCTAAGGTACATCTAAATATCATGAAATCATCCATAAAAATGAAGATCATAAACCTTGATTCGATAATCCAATTCAAGGAAAGATAAGATCAAATTCAAGAGAAGTAAGAGTCAAGTCTAGGAATCAAGAAGCAAGTCAAAGGGAAGTTTATATAGTTTTCAAAGGTTTTTCAAAAACATTTAACTTTGTTTTAAAACATAAAGTTCAAGTTGAGTAAAGATTAAAGAGTAAAGTTTGAAGTTCATTTCTTCAAAAGAGTATATCGGGACTATGTATTCTCAAAGAGTAAAATATTTTCACATTTAAACACGAAAGGAAACCTCGATTTCTAAAGAGCTTTTGAGCTAGTTTTTAGAAAAGATTAATCGCTTTCTGAAGCAAGAAAGAAAACTATGATTTACAAGATAGCCTTTGAGCGAAGTTTTTGAGCAATTATCTCAAATCACATAAAGCAGCATGTTTTTTAAACATAAAAGCTAGTATCATATTTGGGAGTAGTTTTGAGCATCGATGTGGGGGAGAGGTCAATCAACTCACAACCCATATAAATCATGTAGTCATCATGGTTAGAAAAGGGTCAATAATTTTTAGATGATTATTTTAGTGTTTTTTAGCATAGACTAGTGGATCCACTTAGTAGTTCAGGTTCTATACTCATGGCAAGGTATAGAACGGCCCTGGTAGCGTG